CGCGGGCACTGCTGGGGTAAGTGTGCTGTAGGTTGAGACTGGAACATGTGTTTTCTTGGGAACTACTGCACAGTTGGCAGGTGGTACACCTTGACTGCTATTGCATCTGATTTGTGTTTGCCCAACAGCATTAAACACGTTATCTCTGCCCAGCAGGTATGGTTTCAAAGCTGGCAAGTGTCTGTTCTGGGAAAGGTAGGTATTAATACCTGGAAACTTATACATTAGGGCTCGTGAGACACTTGCTCTGCTGGAGAGTAAAGCCCGCTGGAGAAAAGCTCCGTACACCAAGACTGGTTTTGCCTCCACATAAATCTTTCGACTGCGCCTGTCCCTTGGTGCTTTCTGTTCATCTGAGCTGCTGGTAGGACTCAGAACTGCTTAGCTGCAAAGTCCCTTCTGGGGATGTCTTTCTCCCATGAGTGCATGGAAGTTGGCTCTTGCTGCTTGTACTGATCAGTTCATGGTGAAATTGTCATTGAACACAAGGGATCACTGGTGTGACCATGCTGGTTACAGGAGCCGCAGCAGGAGATCTGCTGAAAGAGGTGCTGTCTTAAACATCAGAGAATGCAAACAAGCTGCTATTGTAGGCTGTAGTTATAAATATCAGGCTATTATGGAGGCAGTTTTAATGAACGAAATGACTTGCCACTATTCATGGTGATTGTCGCGTGGGTTTTTGTTTGTTACCCCATTAAGAGGTAAAAAAAATCAACTGTAGCTTCTTTGTGTCTTTTAGAGTGGCTCTCCCTGTCAGGACTGCAGCACTGGGGCTCTAGAGGTATGGGGCAGAGGTTGTTCTTACCAACAACGCTTTTCTCTAGTTTGAAATGGAAAATCAGAACTGACAAAGAGTCTCTGGCTTTTGTTTGAGTACCATAAAACCTAAACTTCCAGCCTTGTCTGCAAGGTATTTGAAGGTATTTATTGTCTTATAGTTTATGAGGAAGATGGTATGTTTTTACCACTGTCTGTGGGTGAGAGTGTCTGCTTCCACCGTGTGCGATGCCAGCGGATCACCTTTGTTTTGCTTGCCAGCGGAGTGACCCTTCAGGATGGTCAATAAGGCTGTGCCAAGCGCTGCCCGGTGCTTGCATGAGGGTGGGGTGGCAGCTGTGCTCAGTGCTGGTGTTTGTCTCTTACAGGTGTGATCCCTGCCTCTCCTCCCCAGCCTGGTGCCATGGCTGACACGATTTTTGGCAGTGGGACGGGCCAGTGGGTGTGCCCCAACGACCGGCAGCTGGCATTGCGTGCCAAGTAAGTCCTCACCACCCTCCTTCCAGCCTCAGCTCTGGCCTGAATGGTTTCCTGGTATCTCTGTAGAGTGCTGGCCCACTGACCTCATCCACAGCCTGGTTGGGAGGTGGGAGTTTGCCTGTCACGCAGACCCTTCTGTACCCTGGAAGTGTGCTGCTTGGGTGGGACAGGAGCCTCCAAAGCTGAAGCTCAGTGCTTGGCTGCTGCTCGGAGCTGCCAGCCTGCAGTGGAGTTTGCAGTGCACTGGTGTGTGGTGGGAGTCCATCCCACCAGCCCTCCCCTGGGTGAAAGGACGGGCTTGGAGGCAGGCTTGTATCTCTGCAGCACCCTAAATATAATTGATAGCTGCCAGCACTCTTTCATTTTAGGAACTTGTCATTTGATCTCATTTTCCCCTGAAGTTAAATTACTGTATAACCTAAAGATAAAAAGGGATGGAGATGAGTCAAGCACTAGAATTGCATTTGTTTCTTGGATGATTTCTTTCTCTGACAGCCAGTACCCTGCCACTGCCACCTCTGCTCTTGTCTGAACCTCTGGGGTCAGCCTGCTGCAGAGAGTTAGAAAATAGGAGGTAACCTTGTGTCTGAGGGGACTGCCTGAGTGTGAGCAGTGCACACCACTGCCACTTCTCCAGCCTTCACCTGAAAGCCTCATTAAGACAGCTGCGCCTGGTAGTGCCCTGCGTTCTGCCAGCAGCTGTGACTTTATCCAGTGACCTCTAGACCTCTACTGAATAGTAATTAATTGAGCTGTGAAAGCTCCCGCCTGTCCCCGAGTGAGCTAAGGAGAAATGTCAGCCGCTGTATGTGAGGCACGGCGGGAGGTGGCTTGCTTAAGTCCTTGTGCAGGCCTGGGTTAGACCAGGGGGAGGAGGTTGCCAAATTTATATTTCCAAGTGTGCCTGGTGGTTTATGTGTTTGAACTGATGACCTTAGAAATGTGTGATCTGGAGGGAGGAGGGTGCAGGTAATCCCAGGTAATCCCTGTGTTCTGGAGTCTGCTGTTGGCATTTGTGGTGTCTGGCATCGGTACCCATGTTGGCACGGTTACCCCCAGGATGGCCAGCCCAACATGCACTAGTCTTCTTTATGGGCAGAGTCAAACAAGAGTGAGGACACAGAGTGGTATAATACAAACTGGAGCAGAAAGGAAAATGAGAGGGCAGGGAAAGGCAGCGCAGCACTCAGTGGTGCTGGAGGAGTGGCGTGGTGATGTGGTCAGTGAGAAGAGACTCATGCTTTGGGTGTTAGCCAGGAAACAGACTTCTCTGATGGAAGGCTGATGCAGGCTCTGTGTGCCTGGCAGGTTTGGCCTGTGGGGCAGGTCAAGGGTTTTGTGCTTTAATTTCACAGCTTAATTCTTTCCTCTGCCCCCTCTCAAAGGCTCCAGACGGGCTGGTCCGTGCACACGTTCCAGACCGAGAAGCAGAGGAAGATGCAGGCTCTGAACCCGCAGGAACTCGAGGTCATTCTGGAAGTCATCCGCAAGGCGGAGAAATTGGACATCATCGAGCAGCAGCGCATTGGGTACAGTCACGTTCGTTTGTCCCCTTCCCTCAGAAGGAAAGGTCAGCGCAGATGGAGGAGGGGCTCTCCTGACTGCCTGAGCTCAGCCTCCATCAGTCAGAGCATCCCTTAGGTCAGTTATTTTCCCTTCCCATGTTGCTTGTTTGGAGGTGATGAGCGTTGAGAAGGATGTGATTTTTTTTTTTTTTTTCCTCCCCATGTCTCAAGCCTTTCTCGTGCCTTCTGTGAGCCTTGGGGCTTGCTGTGTTGCAGTCATTGACATGGTCCTTGGTAAATGCAGCCTGTGCTAAGGCAGCTGCCCAGTGGCTCTGGAAGAGGCTGGAGAAGATGCCAAGCTGTGCAGCTGCACCCACTGCTAGTGGACAGCATGGCTCACAAACTGCTGCTGGCCACACAGTTAGGTTTTCCCTCGTCTGAGGCAGCCTCTTGGGATTTTGCCTTGAGCAGTGAATGAGTTTATGTTCTAGTTGGCTGAGCCATCTGGAATGGGTTTGCTAGCTTGAATTATTTAATTTACAGGCATCCTTTTGCTGCTGTGCATTTCCATTTGCTTTCAGTCCTACTGGAGATATGGCCTCAGCTGTGTCTGTGATCGTCCTGCACTGACTGCCTTTAAAGCTGGGGAGTTCAGCAATCCTGCAGCATTTCCCAGCAGTGTTTCGTGTTCGTGAGACAGGAAACCCCAGTCAGTCCCAGCCCACGTCCAGCAGGCCCAGCTTCCTGCCCCTGCGCTTCGCTCTGCCCCTGTGCAGTGCACATTAGTGAGTGCCAGTGAGAACTGGCAGTGATGTTTGTGTGATGTGTGGGAGACCCCACCAGAAGCAGCCAGCGACCCTGAGGGGGCTGATCATTCCTCTGTGGTTGTTGGTGTAGCTGCAGAAAGAGACAGCCTTGCTGTTCCCGTGCTGAAGCATTCTCCGAAATGCCTTTGTTAACCCCTGGGAGTTCTCTTGTGCTGAAGTCAGGGATCATAAATCCGCTAATGATGGTTCAGCCTAGCCGTGCTGCCTGACCTCATCGCTATGGGCAGTACCTCTTTCAAACAGACCTTGCCTTCCTCTCAGTGCAAGACTTGGTTGATGGGACGTTAGTGCTAAATGAGAATGAGTTTGTGTTTCCTCCCTAAGCCGCTTGCACACACATGGCTGTGGCTGGTCACTGCCTCTCATAAATGGCCTGGCTGTTACCATCCCCACCTACGAATGGATGCCTGAGAATTGCCAAGCAGTGATCTCGCGACAGCAGCCTTGCTCTGGATGCTCTCCACATCCTGCATCCTAATTGCTTATCCTGCCTTCCTTCTCTTTTGTAGTCCTGCTGCTACGGACATTGTGCATACATATGTGCTTCCTGTCTTCCAGGCGGGCTGTCGAATGAAGCAGGGAGCAGTTACTGGTATTCCTGTATTGCAGCCAGGCTCATTCTGGTCTGATGGCTTCAGCCTGGCCTTCCTGCTTCCAACGGGATGTGGGCAAGTCATGTGCCTGCAGTGCTGCTGCTTTCAGGGAGTGTGTGTAAGAATGGAGCGGGGCTGGGCAGGTCTAACTCCTCTGCCCTTTCCTGGTGCTGTCTGACTTGCCCTGGTCTGAGCACTAACGGCTTTTCCTGCTCTACAGGCAGGAAATCATTGTGACCCAATGTGACACTGAGCTCCTTCCTGAAGGGTGTAGGACCAAGCCCCACTGGTGAGCTGTCTGCCCTGCACCCGCTAGCTGAGCCAGGCCTGTCAGTGGTATTTGCAGTTTTGATTTTTCTGGGCTTGGTGAGCATCAGTAGATGGACTTAGAGGGGTTTGTATTGCCTGAAGACCAAGAGCCAGCTGATGGGAAACACTGAGTGCAGAGACTGAAGTGAAAGTACATATGGTCCCAGCAAGGGGCTCGAAACTGCACTGTAGCAAAGGTAGACAGTCTGGAGCACATATCTGCAGGTTTTTGGTGTGCCTCAGTACCACATGCTTCAACTTCCAAGGTGAGGGCTTTGACCTTTGCTCTGCCTCGTTCCCCACAGGCGCCTGGTGGAGCGGCTGGAGAACATGAGAAAGAACGCCATGGGGAATGGCCTCTCCCAGTGTCTGCTCTGCGGTGAACTGCTTGGGCTGCTGGGCAGCACGTCGGTCTTTTGTCAGGATTGCAAAAAGGTGGGTTTGGTCACACAGGTTCTACGTGCTCTCTGTAGTAGATCTGTCTAGGAAAGGCCACTAGGCCTCTCAGAAGCTAGATAGCTCTGCACAGTTGACTTATCTTAGCCCCACTTGTCTAGGTCGGTGCTGTCAAACCATTAGGTTTTCTTTTGCACCCTGCTTATCTTATTCCTCAGGATCCTAAAGTGATCCTAAACTGCACTTAGTGCTGAGATGGGGTGCATCAGCCCCCTCTGCATCTCCCACTCTGGGGCTGCAGAGTGAGAAAAGGGACAGGAATGTATGGCCATCAGAGGCAACTCATAAAAGGGTCTGTGTGCTTTACTGTTATTTGCCCTTAGACCTTTCAGTAACGTGTCTCTTCAGAGGACTCAAGTCCATCTTTGACTTCCAAACCAGTGTTAAGTTTCCAACCCTGATGTATAAATTAGCCTGTGCATCAATGACGCCTGTGTTTGTATGTGGTGTTGGTGGGACCGCATGGGTGCTCTTTGAGAGACAGCATCGGTTTGCAGGAACGCTGCTGTTCTACCAGTGCTCTGCAGGACCACTGTTTCTTGTCTGGACTCTGCAGCCAAGGGGTTAATCTATATTGCTGTGGAGATGACAATCTCCAAGGCAACCACCTTATCCTCCCTCTGCTGGGAGGCTGGTTTTCCTGCACTTGAAGCCCGTCTTTCCCTGGGAAGATACCTCTGTAAGTGACTTTGCCTCAGTGCGTTGCCCGGGAAGAGGTGAGGGTACTTGCTGGGTGGAGGAGTGTTTCTGACTTGCTGGTGGTAGGGTGGAAGGGAGCAGCCTGTGCTGACTCTGTCCCCAGTGGGTACTGGAGCAAAGGACACACTTGCCCATGTCACTGAGAAGTCCCGTGGAGCCCACAGGACATCGCTGAGTAAAACCTGCTGCTTTACTGCAGAGTGGTGCGTGTTGGCACCTCTGTGGTTAAGCAGCTGCTGGAGTTTGTGAGATGCAGTTCTCCTGCAGAGCAGGCTGCCAGGCTGGGCCTGCCCTGGTCCACGGCTGGCTGCAGCACTGTGGGCTTCGAGCTCTTGCAAGAGAGGGAAGGGGGTGGGTGCCCCTTGCAGTCAGAACCAAGGTCCCAGCATCCGTCCGTATCCGTCCGTACTTGCCCACCGGGCAGGAGGCTACTGTGAGCTGTGCTGGCTTTGCTGTCGAGTGAGCTTCTTCGCTGGATTCGGTTTGCAGAAGTAGCCTGACTGAGACAGGAGTTACGCAGAAGATTTCTTGTAAGGCAGTGACTGGGAAAGGGAATGCAAATCTTTGAACCCCTGGGTTCTAAGCCAGGGCGAAAGTAGCTTTTTAGGAAGGGTGGGGAAGGAAGCAGCAGTAAGGTGCTGCGAAGTGAAAGGTCTGGTTTGACTGGGAGCTCCAGGACAGCTCTCTTGGAGAGGAGCACGGGCTCTGTGTGCACGTGTCTGTGGAGAATAAAGGGCTGGGTGGCAGACAGGAGACGGCTAGCTGTTTCCTGCATTTCAAGCACGCGGAATAACAGGATGTGCTGTATTCTTACCCCCTTCCCTTGACGATTCTGCTCTCACCTTGTCCAAAGCCAGCTAGGTCACATTGCTACGGTGCTTTCTAACTCCTTCCTGTGATCCTTGTGCATAATGAGGAGGCAAAGGCTGGCCCAGATGCTTCCCTGTCCAGTCTGTTTGCAGTTGCAGGTAGTAACCCCCGAAGCTAGTGAGGCTGTGTGAGCCCAAAAAACCCCAGAGAAGGGCTGGGGATTTTTTTGTGGTTGTTCTCTTTTTGTTTGGAGTCTGTTGGGCAGTTCAGGAGGATTCATATCCAGGGTATTTTAAGGTGGGACTCTGCTTTTCCAGTGTGTATTTTGCAGGTGCTTTCAGCTTGGCTGCTGTTTTCAGCTGCATGCAAGCTCCGGGCAATGCTGACTGGGTGTCCGGGGCTTCTCCCCTTACAGCTTTTTAATGTTGTAGAGTGAATTCAGGGAACAGTCAACCCTTTGGCAGAACACACAAGAGTGGACTGTTACTTTAAGCTTGTTCCCTCTCATCCAGGGATATCCATCACTTGTGCAATGCTGTATGCAATAAGCAATGACTTGTCAGAGAATTATGGATTTTTAATTTCTTATTTTTCTTGCTAGTGTTGCTCTGTTACCATCTCATTGCAGCCCGTTTAATTCCATAACAGGAATTGTAATGATGCATCTGAAACATAGCAAAGAACTTACCTTCAGCAAGTCTCTTCTGCTGAATAGAGGTTCTATGTTGCTTGTAACCTGGTGGATTTTCTAAGTGCCACTTTCTGTTTTATGAAGAATATTTTTAACATTAGTTTTTATTATCTTAGAACTAAATGCATTATGGCTAGGCAAAGATGTATGCAAATCCAAATGTGTTAACAATAGCTGTAGTCAGACAAAGCATAATGTGTCATTTACCATGCAGAAGGTATTAGTGTCATGTGTAAAAGGTGAAGTATAAGTAGGAGAAGAAAGTACTTTATCTTGTATTTAATGAGGAATGGGGCTGCATGCATTGAATGTCCTTGATGTTTATGTCTTCTTCCGAGGGGTTGTGAGTGATGCTCAATTTTCCAGCGAGTCTGCAGAGAAGGGGAGGAGGAAAGCCCCGGTTTATATTGGAACGTTCAAAATTTATGGCTAAGAATAAAATCCCTTGGAAATTTCCACTAGAGGGAGTGATTGAATGTGCTATCTGCGTGGGGATTGGGATCTTTGAGGGTATTTAAGACTCAGATTTTGGTTTGAGGGAGGGAGAATTTAGGGTAGTTCAGGTGGTGTCTGCGAATTGCATCTGCAGTCCCCCTTGGCTTGGGTAGCACCACATAGAGTATTGATGCGCCAAACCCAACAGGTTGTCCTTATTTCTCTGGGAGGACGGGGCAAGGACAGTAACAGAGATGGAGAGGAGCACCAGCTTCTGTGGGGCTGCTGGTGCCACCTCTCACTTTCTTTGCAGCACGAGCCAGGGACAGATCTGCCTCTGGACTATGCTGACCAAAATAGTTGGGTGCATTTATTCATGCAGTGAAGCCATTGCCTCAGGTACCATCGTTCTGCCATTCTCCTCTTCCAGGCATGGGCACTGAGGGCTGAGTGAGCGACTGAGACTTCCATGCCTGGACACAGACCTCCTGGCTCAGAGGAGGAGCAGCCTGATGTGTAAAACCTTAGCTGGGGAGATTAAATTCACATGTCTCTGTAAGCAAGGTTTTGCTCTCCAAGGCCCTCCTGTGAGTGGCTTTTGCTCTGTGAGGATCAAAGAATTCATCCAATTTCTCATTCAAGCTGTAAGCCAGGTCTGATACACATCAGCTTCATTATATAATATTAGGTGATTCAGGTTGTAAATGGCTTGTAATGCCAGCGGAGACATGAAAGTTCCCTTGTGCAGCAATAGGGGCCGTGCGGCGCTATCAAGCATTCTGCTCAGGGAACGTGCATGTGGGCACGGTCGTGCCCGCTTCCCAAGCAGCCACAAATCAATAGCTGCCGAGAGCGTGCTGAAATGGAAGGGAAGCCGTGGGGTTTAAGACTGCGTATGTGAGGGACTGGAGGAGAAGATTTCCAGTCTTGCACAAACTCAGTCGTTTTGTACTTGGTTACAGCTGCTTTCCATGCCACGGTGATTTGGTTTAGGATTTAGAGGAAAAAAAAAAACGCTCTAGAAATATGCCTGTTGGTCATGGGGTTTGATTTGCCCTGTCCAGTTCTCTTTTCACCCTGAAGTCAAGGACTGTGCTGTAGATTTGCCTTTGTCTCATGTCCATATAGACCTGAAGCAGCTTCCTGTGATCGGTGGTTCTCCAGGACAAATAAGAAAATTGTGCCATGTTTAGGTTTTTAAGGAAAGCAAAATACAACTATTGGGATGGATACTACTTGACCTTCTCTCTCCCAGGGGCTATATGGCTGTGGGGATTTGCTAACACCACTCTTTTTTTCCCTTTTTTCTCTCTCTTTGTTTCAGAAAGTTTGCACCAAGTGTGGAATAGAAACATTTGGAGCCCAGAAACGTCCTCTTTGGTTGTGCAAGATCTGCAGTGAACAGAGAGAGGTAAAACGCAACTGTGGAGAGATGGGGCTTAGCAGTGTGCACCTACCTGTCCCAAGACTGTGCTAAACATGCATGGGCTCTACCCTGTGCCTGGGCACTGGGAGAGGAGCTTGGTCTGGGGTTTGGAAGGCCTGGCTTGAGGCCAAGCAGACTCAGTGAACACACACAATGGTGACAACTTTGGTTTGTGTGGGGGTGGAGGGAAAAAAACCCACCAGCCTCTGCAGCCTGTATGGCTTTGTGGGATTTTTCTAGCT